ATGGCGATCCGGCGAAATTTGAACAGATCCTATTTTTGCTGGACGCTGGAGCTGTGCCGGAGTCAGTTTTTAAAAATTACGTTGCACCGACAGGAAAAGAAACGAGCACAACATCCTTATTTTCAAAATAAGACACTGTTAGGTGGGATAATTTGTCGGAAAAATGTCAAAATTGCTGCTATATTAATAAATATACAGATATATTTCTACACAAATGCTGTCAGAATGTATCGTTCTGTTTGGGAAGGAGATGGAAACGTAGCATGAAGCATATGTGTACACACAGGATGCACATGGATTTTATTTTGAAATCAGAAGTTTCAGAAAGACGACAGGGAGACAGTTTCAACATAGATATCAAAAGCCTTTACTGTATATCGTTGTCTTCAGCTGTTTGGATTTCGTCTTTCACAGAATTGATTATTTTTTGCTGTTATCACTGAATTTATTGCGCGATCTCCTTCCTGCACACTCTGTCGGACCAGAGCAGAACGGACGCTGTATGAATTGAGACACAAACGAACAGCTGCGACCTGCGCACCGCAGCACAGCGGAGCGGAGACACATGTAGTATAAATCCTGGGTTAAGATTGGAAATGACTGACTTCTGTTTGCAGTGTTCTATTTGCACATTTACATCATATTAAAACAGGGTGTGATCCTTTTTTATTTTTATTTTTGTATATGGGAGTGAGTGTCTCATTATCTATGAGCATGAAAACAAACCAGCAACCTATATCCAACATTACATTCATGCTCAGTCTGAGTTATCTGAACAACAGGAACACTGCACCACACAAAGAGCTGTTTCATTAATAGGAGCACATCTCWCCAACGATTCATCATTTTGTTTTAGTTTTCCTGTGGTTTAAACTCCCATCTGATGTGATAAAAGACAGCTAACCTTCAACAACGCTTCGCCATCCATTTTACCGCATAGATCTACCCCTCTGGATTGATCCCTCTGTCTGTCTCATGAGAAAGGATCATATACTTCTCTGTAAATAAGGATGCAGCCTTCACTGACAAACAGCCTCGTGCTGAGGTATCGGGGCCGGGATCTAATATCATTTCTCAGCAAATCACTCAGATCTGCTTATTCTGGAATGTCTGAGAACAAGTGAAGCAATAAATGGTATCTGCAGACATTATGTGCATAATTGTTAGAGCTGGTGATCAGTTTTTTTTTAATTCAGAGGGTCCTGGTTTTATAAAGAAATGATTGAACACTAAAATTTGGAAGCCTATTAATTGCATGCAAACATATAACAAGAGTAAGTACATGCTTCTTATATTGTCTGCTACAGTGGTTTGGGTTCTTTTGCTTTATTCAAAAATTTACTTGGTTCTGTTTTTGTTTGCTCTGGTTTCCTCCTTCAGATTAAAAACATGCTTGTTAGGTTCATTAGTAACTCTAAATTGTCACAAGGTGTGAGTGAGAGTGAGGCTGTGTCCAAATTCAGAGGCTACGCCCTTCGAAGGCTGATTACATCAAAACAATGCGCCAAAGGATATCCAAATTCAAAGCCTCCTCCGATTGTGGCCCACAAACTCATCCTTTTTTTCCCCAAGATGGGAAGGACAGGTTCGGTGTATCCTCCTCAGACCAGGGGCAGTTCTAGGGGAGGGGCCACGGGGGCATTAGCCCCTGTTGAAATTTGATTGGCTCGCTGAAGTGCTGCTGTACTGTCACTCATCTGTCCTTTGCCCAAGAGTGCTGATGCTGGGTGCAATTCCATGTCCAAACACTAGAGGCGCTAATGAATCCAATAGAAAAGTCCAGCATGAATCCAGCTGACAGAAGTCTTTTTTTCTTGTCTTAAAATTTGAACAATCCTGCAGAAAAAGTCTTTCAACTCACAAATGATGGCTGGATTTTCTCACATGCTGTTTGTTTGAGAATATTTTATCTATGTACTGTAAAAATGCACGTGAAATTGTTAAGGAGAATTTACTGTGCAAGCTTTTTTTTTCAAATTAAAAGTGTTTAAATGTGTGACTGTTGGTTAAATACAAACACCTTACCAAAACCAGGGATGTGTGTGTGAGGATGCTGAACAAATACTTGGCCCCTCTATGAATAGTGTGGCCCCTTGATGGTCCCTTACTCAGAAAAATCCGAGATCCACCACTGCCTCAGACTATCCTGAGATGAATTTAAGACCACCCGGGAGAGTTATTTTTTTTWAATTTTATTTATTTATTTATTGACTTGTAATGGTTAACGAAGTGAGAGACATGCGTACAGTTTTAAATAAAAAAAAWAAGTTTAAAGCTGCTGTCTTGTTAGGCTCTTATTATTTGCATAGACATGTTATTTAGACGTTATTATTGTCAGAAATCATCATAAACAAACTTGCGTGGTAGGTCCCTCAGTTCTTCAAGTATTGCCTCTAAACTAATTTAGTACAATTTGCAATATTAATAATATGGATATATTGACATGAAGCTCATTTCAATCTATTTTCAATCTTCATTGCTTGTTTAGTGCTATCACGGTGGCTAGGCGGCAGGACATATGCCGGGGTAGGGGTGGACATAAAGCTGAAGGCTAGACCATCCAAATTCACAGCCACTTTCTCCCGGTTTTTGAGGTCGACCAAGGACCTGACCCACGTAGGCTGGGTACTTCAAAGGACACTGCCCCTGAATTTGGACACAGCCCATGATTAGTTGTTTGTTGTGTCAGTCTGTATGTAGCCTGGTGACATATCCAGGGTGGTGCACTGTGGAAAGGCAGCAGTTAGCTGAAACACTACACAAAAAAGGGGGCAAAGCAAATGGATGTTTAAATTTGAGGGAAATGGATGTRAAACAAACAGATATAATAAACAGGCATAAAATAAACTCTGAAAATGATAAATAGAGGATTTTTAAATAGATAATCTAGTATTTTTAAACTTTATATATTCTTAAAAAATGCTCAGAAACTATTTATTGAAACATTTTAAGAAAACGTTACAATGATTAAAGTTTTTTTGTTCAGTAGATTTATGGGGATAAATATTTTAATTCTGGGTCATAATATGCTTTAATTAATTTAGATGGCTAGGATTTTAATGGGTTTCTGTGCTGCCTCTGGTCTTAGGTTTTGAGTTGTAAATGTTCTGTTTAGGACCTTTTTGATTGGCAKATGATGGCTAATAAATAAGCTTTGTTTTGCAGTTGCTTGGCGTGGCAACATTTAACCCGTTTTACCTTGAAAAAACACCAGAACCGTAATGAATATTCAGCCGTTTATTGGAGCAACATTTACAGTACATAATATTTATAGGCATCCTCGTTAATTTTCTTTGGCGTTCCGACGAGAGCCTGTTGTCGATCCCCCGAACATGTTCGCACAGAGTGAGGAGAGGTCTTGAACGCTGCTCGACGACACCGTATGTAACAGCGAGCGTGAGCAGCGTGCTGCTTTCTATAGGCACAGGCACAGCTCTTTGTTTTCCTGTCTCGGCTGTGTCGCTCCTCGACYTTGGTGTTCTATAGCTGCTGGGGATGAGAGATGGTGTTAACACTTCTGAAGGCGTAAATCACCCTCTCTCTCTATACCACTCTGCACCCCCACCATCCCCACCCCTAACACACACATGCACAGACACACACAAACACACTTTCCCTCTACAATGTTGTTCTCTTCACTTGCTATCAGTGCTAAGAGGTGATTGGAGTCTTCCTGGTCTGATAATGGGCCACATATACRCAGCCTTGCTTTCTCTCAGACACCTTTTTACAGCTGCAGAGCTGCGAGAGAAAGCAAGAGAAGGAGACTCATCAAGTAATTAAGGCCCTGACTCTCCCTTGGAAATTAAAGGAATGGCCCTTTGCTCTCCTCCGTCTCTCTGCTCGTCTTCCTGCTGGGCTGATTGCTGTCTGGCTTCTCTCCTCACCTGAGCATCTCTCTCTCTCTCTCTCTCTCTCTCTCTCTCTCTCTCTCTCTCTCTCAGGCAAACCATAGTGCATTGTGCGAGTGATTACCCCACTGTGGGTAATTGCG